GCAATTGTATATTGACTACACATTTAATACAAGTTTGTATATCTATAACCAAAAATCTGCATGAATTATAAAGTGTCTTGTAGCAATAACATAAACATTTGCTTTAGTTTAAAGCTTTGCATGTAAATGTCATTAAAATTATTAAATAATTGAAACCCTAGCAATACAGGAATTGTTGAATTATAAAACACTCAGTGGCTATTATAAAAAATTCAAAATGTTTATTTCAGGTATACTTAAATAAGTCACATTCATAAAAATATTTCAATAAATACAAGCATGGATATAAAACTTGTTTAGAAATCTCCACTATTCAGATTTTTTTTGTCATGGTTGATTGAGCAAATCTTATCAATGTTGTGCAATGATGTGCGTAAAATAATACTACAATATGTTTATGAATTTTGCCCTGTTCTGTTAATTGCTTGTTGGAATATACAACATATCCCAACATATTTCAACTAAAAATTAGATTTCAAAGACAACCACTAAAACACTTCTCATGAAAAAAACATAAATACAAATTTGTGTAGACAAAAAACAGACCTTTCATATTGCTATATTACAAAAAATTAACATTTGCAACGTAGATTTGCAACTTACTTCATTGGACCATACATGTCGTAGCTGATTTGCATACGTAGTAGACCCTAATAAGGTTAATCCCGTACCTTATTAGGGGGGTAATTTGTATGCTACATAAATGCACTATAACCATATTTGGTAATATTTGAGCCTTGTATGGGAATATCAGGTGCAACAAACCAAATGCAATCTTCTTGTAACCATGGTGATTTGATATTGAAATACTGAGAGTATGCAAGACACCATACATCCAGTCTAATGGAGTTGTGTTTATTGCTATTATATTATACATACCGGTATATTATTAACTTATTCAAAGTCAAACTTTTTGATGAAAAGTTCAAATTAATGTCACATTTTGTCTGTTGAATAAAGATTCAATTTGGTGAAAATTACGGAAAATGTGAACAAATTTGAGCAAAAAAAAAAAAAAAATTATGCTCAAAGGCTGAAGTGTTCTAAGAATTGTACAGTGGTTTGTAGTGTTGTCTTATGCTCAAAGGCTGAAGTGTTCTGAGAATTGTACAGTGGTTTGTAGTGTTGTCTTATGCACATATATTTGTGTTTATATTGGAGGTATGGTAATTTCAAAAAAATAATGGTTTGCAGTAAAATTACTTTATGTTAAATACAGCAGTCCAGTTGACAGAATTGTCTAACCTTCAAGTAGCTATATTTTGTAAATAGTATTTAGGGTTTCCTCTTATTAGCTACCTGTCTTGATTACAAATTTTTGAAAAACAATCGGGGAATTATTATGCGGATTATATTTGTGAAAGGTAGAAATCAGTTTTCCCACATTCAAGCTTGTAGGCAAAATGGTGACTTGACTGAGTCATTCATCCTTGAATTATAAAGACTGAGCTTTAGGGCTTGAAGTATAGAATTCTAAATACAGCCAGTTTCATGGTAACCTTGTCTAGTTTCTGAATGCCTATCCTGTTTCTTTTTTATGGCTAAACTGAAGGCATTTGTATCCTATTTCTAGATGTATGTTGGACCAATACTTTTACCAAAAAAATGACCCATACATGCATGTACATGTACATTGTATACTGTATCGCTCTACGAGTACCGGTAGTGCATACATTTTTGGAAACGACAGGTGTTTCTACGCTCAAAGTACGTTTGTAATTTGTACCAGAGGTACATTACTTGGGGTTTGCAACGTGCATAGTACTGTATGGTGACATCATGTCAATATCACATTCAAGTCTCATCTCGTAGATAGCGAGACTGATGCTACGACCTTCTGACATATATCAAGGTTTGTAATAAAACAATAAAGCATGTCTCACCACTATCATAGTGAAAAACTGTAATACATCGAAAATGTACGGAAAATATAGTTCTCGTAATTGGTCATATTGTGAGGAGCTATTTTGATCCACCTGGACCTCCCAGTACTCTACTAGTTAGTTACCTTGGGCATGCGCATTCGCATTGTTCTGAGTTGGGAACGCTTATGCGAGAGTGAGATTGAAACGGGATCTTGGATTCATGTCACGCTACTTGCAAACCCCAAGTACCGGTAATGTACCTCTGGTCGTACTGAATGATTCAGTATACAAAAAAATACAATTTTGTTTTACAAACACATGAAACAATTTCATTAGAAAAAATGCCCATACAGCATTATTATTTTGGCATATACTTCATTCTTTCATCTTTTTTTTTTTTACAGTACCAAGTTGGACAGCTATGGTCGGTGGCAGAAGCTAGCAAAAATGAAACCGGTGGTGGTGAAGGGATAGAAGTTTTAAAAAATGAACCATTTGAAAATGAAGAATTTGGTAAAGGACAGTACACACTCAAAATTTACCATTTAGCAAGGTAAGTTGATAGATGAAGTAGTACATGCACATCCCTCCCTCCCACTTGCCACGTCTCGCGTCACGTCTCATTTCACAACGTGAAGTAGCTCAACTTTAGTCACCATTTATGAAATGAAAGTAGTTAAAAGTCGTGATGGTGTTCAGGGGCAATGCATTTTTACCCCAGGGCAGTAAATTACGAGTGACCTGTGGATATAACATCTGTGATCTGGCAGTATGCAAGTGTCTGGAAGTGCCAGGTGTAGATATAGTGCTAATTTGGTGGGACACTGTGTGTGTGTGGCCTGGTTTGAAAAGGAGGGGGGGGGGCTATTTAACTCGGGGGAAGTGTGGTACTTTGTATCTGGGGAATGTGATGTGCATTTTGAATGAATTTAACAAATATCATGTGACAGGTTTGTATGTCCCAGGGGCAGTTAAAACTGACGACCTTGGTAAAAAAACAAACAGTGTGGTGTCATCAGTCAGGTTCGGACTCTTTGGTAGCTTACGGTAATGAAGTTGTTTCCCTCTGCTCACTGTCAAAATGCATGCATTTTATGATGAACTGCTAAAACTAAGCAAAAGTGACTATTACATGTACATGTACAAAATACTATTTGGTTGAAGAGATGTAGTCTGATTGGTCAAAACACAGTGATTGTCTGTAAAAAAAACCTGCTTGAGAATCCAGAAGGAAGCTGGGACAGTGTTTTTATAAACCAAACTTGTGCAAAGCACAATTGTAAAAGGCAATTTGCCCATCTTATATACAAGAAGAGAACACAGCTAATTTGCATACGTAGTAGACCCTAATAAGGTTAATCCCATACCTTATTAGGGGGGTAAGTTGTATGCTACATAAATGCACTATAACCATATTTGGTAATATTTGCACCTTATATGGAAATAGCAGGTGCAACAAACCAAATGTCAATCTGATAATGGATTACTCCTTGCAACCATGATGATTTCAGATCAAATTTGTAATCTCATAATGCATCACGTCTTATGCTGTGGTGTGCATCGTGTATTAATAAATTACCACACCTTATATGGCTATAACAGGTCTAACATACAAACACCCAAATTATACTTATTACTGGTTTTATTTGTTGACATAGCTTTTAATCTTGAAATTGTGAGTTGCTGGTCTCTGGATTATTCAATCTACCGGTAATCATAGAAGATTGTCTTCATTATTACTAGTTTTCTGTCATAATTTCAAATCACAAAGCAAATTTTCTGATAGATTAGACTAATATAACAATATGACCTTGATAATCTGTTTGCATCTTATCACATACAGCTTAGAAATGAGGGTTGACATGTCTTGCTTGAGGTAACAAAAAATGGCATCTGAAATTCATAGGAAGTTGTAAATAATCATTTCCCTGTTCCAAATGCTAGTTGAATTAGGTCAACTGGTATTGGTAGGTTGGGCTGTACTTCCATTGAAAAGCTGTTTACATGCGTGTTGCCAAACAGGGATAAATTTCTGAGCCAACATGTCTGGAATGGAGTCCCTTTTTAAACATGTGTCGAAAACAGAAGTCTACAATTTCGGCATTCATTACTGAAATTATAAAGATAAAGTTTGAAAGTCCTTTGAAACCATCATTCAAGCTAGAAAAATAATAAATTCCTGCAAAAAATGTAATTCATAATCTATTTCAAAATAGAATCGTAGTCTGAGAAGCCCCAGTGCAATTGTTTTTTAAATATGTTCTTTCATTATATTATTGTTTTGTGTTATTTACCCCCTAACGTAGAAATTTGTACATGGACTGGACAATTGTAATTGATATGCCTGTCATTCCTTACAATATGGATGAGAACATTCTTTATTTTTCATATTACAACTGGTTTCCAGGCAACATATGATTGAATTTAATCCCTCCCAGGCCTCCCGGAGATTAAGTACGCTCATTCATGCTATGTTTAGTATATAGGATGTAAAAGATGGAAGGCTACCCCCCCCCCCCCTCCCTCCAGATATTATCATAACTGGTTTCCAGGCTTCACTTTTTTATAATCCAGGCCACTAAAAAGGTGAATGCACACACCCTTGCTATGTTTGGTATATACATATAGTATGTAGAAAATGGAACAATAAAGTATATATATACATATATATTATCACAACTGGACTCCAGTCTCCACTTTTTATGCTCCACACTAACAGGATAAATGTCTTCATCCATGCTATGTTGGGTATATACCGTACTCGACCGAGTTAGCGTCCATGCCCAGGCAAGCGCCCACCCCCCACTTTTGCACAATTTTTATATTTGGGGTCACATTCGGCAAAGCGCCCACCCCTTCAGAATGCAACTAATTTAAAACTTTGTCTCGCGTAACGAACTTGGTAATCGTTATTTATACGATACAGCGTGGATATCGACCACTGTGAATATGTTGTGAATGCATAGACCACGGTAACCGTGCGTAAACTACGCTTTGACAATGACCTGTTAATACAAGTAAAATGTGGTAAATATTTCATGCCATATTCAGTTTACCTCTCAAAAATAACTAGTTACTAGTTTTTTGGAAAATCCATGTCGTTTATTAGCTGAAATGAATTTTAACAGATCGTACTTCGACATCGATAATTCACTTCCGCATTGCGTTACCGGAAAGCCTTTGGGAATTTCCGAAGAATTGCGTCGGTACAACACAGCATTCTGATTGGTTAATAACCAACTTGACCCATTAGGTCAAAGGACGCTGCTGCAGGTCAAATCTGCAAATGCATCATGGCGGAAAGTGATATTCATCGAGAGTTTGCGTACTATCCAACACCTTCGTCAGTGGAGATAATGATGAGAATTTTGACTTTGACTGTGTTCCAACAGACTAATGTTTTTAATTTCGTAAATTCTGGTGGTACGTAATTAATATTGTAATAAAATGTGCATATTTTTTGTGATCATTTCTGTTTCTTCATTGTGAAAATCAATGACAACGCAACTAATTTCGTAATTTGATTTTCCC